CCTTCCCCAACCCAAAACTCCCTGCTTGCAGGTTAACAAGAACAAATATCAGGCTCGCAACTTCTGTGCCCAGATGCATGAAATAAGCCAGAAATTGAAGATTTTGGCGCCCTCAAAGTGCCAATGCTGGGTAAGCCAGTCAAAAATTGTTGACAAGGGACTACTTTGGGGGGTTGTTCTCTCTCTTCCTCTCTCCACTTATCTATCCTATCGTGTTTTTTCTCCCTCTCTCTCTATCCCTCTCCCTTTCACCACCTGTAAATCACTCTACCCACCACCAACCCCCCCCCCCCTTTTTTTTTTATTTCCTCTTCTCCCCCCTCTTCTATGTCAAGGAACCATTTCGTGCCTGCATGCCAACCAAATAAGAAGCCACAATCAGCATGGCTTTTGCAGTTCCTCATTTATGCAGACACTCAACCGGGCTCATGCATACCCTGGTGCTTGGGACCTTTGATCGAGGTTCCCCCCCCCAAGGGGGGGCATGTTTAGCACACCCCTTTTTTGGCGAGATTCCCACATGGCGCCCAAAAGGAGGGGTGCCAATCCCTTTTTGGCAAGAAAATAGTATTAGGTGGGCTGGTAATGTGCAGCGCAGACCCAGTACAGCACCTGTTAGGAGGTGCGAGTTGGTTCAAGTGGAAGGCTGAAAAAGGGAAAGGGGTAGGCCCAAAAGGGCACAGGTGGAAGTACTGAGAAAAAACATGGGTACTTATAGCCTCACTGAGGGTATGGTCCTTGAGAGAGCAGAATGATGGACCAGGATTTGTGGAGTCGACCCCAAATAGTTGAAAAAAGGCTATAATGACGATGATGATTCCCAAATTGGGCCCCTCAACCAAGATCAGTGTCCCATATGCGGTTAGCAGTAAATTAGGCTGAAGACATGCAGATCATGACTCCAGAAGGCAACTCAGCTCAAGAGTCGTCCAATTGGAGGATTTTTTTATCCTGCTCAGAACATCTTCTTGCCTATTCTTTCGCCTTTATTCCCCTCCACCTCGTTCGCTGGATTTCTAGTATGTTCTGCATTTTTGTCATGGAATGGACAAAAAGGCCCAACACAATTCTGTATAGCGGACAGTTTTTTTGGGGTAACCAGCAAAGTCCACTCCCTCTCTTTGTTTCTTGATCATACACCTTCTCCATTCTCCCTCAGGTCATTGGCCTTGGCCATCACCCCATCACAACTTTGCACTCACAGCAACTCGTAATCTGTAATTTAAGGTTCTATAACACAATACAAGCAATTCTTTCAAAAACGGATCCATGAGAAGACATTGTGTTTCTTGATTCATCTAAGTTTACACTTGAAGGGACAGTTTAAGTTTGTCCTCAGAAATATAGTCTGGGGACTAAATCTCCTTCGAATTTTTGTGTTCGAGTACAGTACCACGTACTGATGTGGCACGCATATGGAGTCCAAGATTGCACCTGTGATATTCTTGATTTCTTGATAAGTCCAAAAAGAAACTTACTCTAGGTTAAGTTGCATGTTGAGAAAAGGACGACCGAGAGGTTTTATAAGTTAGAACAAACCATAGGTTCATACATTGCTCTTCTCAGGTTGGATCTGCCAGTGTTTGTACCAAACATGTGAAGTGGACCAGCTTTATAGTATGGGGGACATTTTTCTATGTATATGTTTTTCTATCCTTAGGAATAACAAATATACAATAGCACTAAAACAATGTAGACTCTAATCGCTATAACCTTTCTGTTTGGTTGTGATTCCAACAAAACATTTCCTTATAAGCTAAAAAATTGACCCAAGTTCCAAGTATTCCTCTGCAGTTTCCCATAGCTAATGGCACCTATAGGCAATAATAGTTTAGACAAATGAACTGTCTTTTCACACTAGAGTCATTACAGTATCAACAAGCTCCTTCACTTATATAGTTAACATTGTGAATTACCATGAAAGCTCTCAGCATCTAAGTAGATCAAAGTAAATAATTTCTTACAGATTACAAATTCGAGTGACAAAAACACCTACGATCACTTAGATATGCTATGCAATGAGATCATATCTTTTCTTCATATTAGATTACTCGACGATCAGGCCAATAAAGTCCAAGTGCACCTACAATATTATTCTAATAATTACATGGTCAGTTTGTACGCCTTGATTACAATGATATTTATGGTAAACTATGCCCTGGTATTATGAAAGCAGACAAGATAAAAATTATTTTTGCAGAGCCAGAAAACAAAAATCTCACAACTATAATATTACATCACAATTTATCAAAGAAACTAAACCATCCGATCAATCAAACGACCATAATGATTTGAAAAAGTTCTTTGTGCATAAGAAACCAAATAATTCACCTTCGATATGTGTACCCCGAGACTTCTATGAATCCCAGAACATTGCATGCATATGAAGATTCCCAAGTTCACACTTGCCCATCGTGGACCCCTGCACAAAAGTAGAAGCTATGTCTAATTACATATTTCCAACAATTGATTATAGAATAAGGTCAGTAGTTCCCTATGAGGAAAATAACGACAGATTATTCACCAGGTGCCTAAATGGGATAATTTTTTGCACATTCAAGTATTATCATATAATGAGTGTCACAAACTCATAATGATATCGAAATCCATATTTCAAATGCGCAAGCATAGATCACAACTTCTGATACCGAATATGTCCCCTCCCAATTTAGAAAGAATGAAAGTCAGATTACGAGCTACAATTTGACTTATTTCGTTTCCAATAACTCGATTAACTGAGGCAAACCACTAGTCACCAGACACATTTTAGAAAATCCACATTACGCTGTTTCTAAGCTCACCAACATCCAAAACATATTACGTTTCCCTCCCATATAACTTGGCAAATGCTTAGGAAAACTAAGGTGCTACAACCAGCTCGAATTGAACTACCCAAACAACTTTAAAAGCCTATGATCCTTACTAAAACGCTAACATCAATAGTTGTAAAAGATTCATGTCAAGAGGTCAATGAAACTTTAAAGCCTATGTATCCAAGAGTCGGAAACAATGCAGTAAAAATCGAACTAGGTGACATCCAATGCCGCCTCGAGGAGCAGCGTACTTAATCCACCTGACCAAGCCAAGTAAGCCCCTCATGAGGCAGGCGCCTGGTGCTTCGAACTCCTGCACCCTAAATGGCCCAACTTCACACAGATGCAAAAGTTTCCTTCGGTAGAGGTTTTTTTTTTGAGAAAAGTTTTTTTTTTTTTGCCTTAGGTAGAGGTTATTCTTTTAAACTATCCATGTCCCGCACATGCACACACTCCTACGAACATGCGCATGCAGACACACACTCTAAATGGCCCAACTTCCCACAGATGTAGAAATTGTCTCAGATAATGGTTAATTCTTTTAAACTAGCCATTTCCCACACATGCGTGCACGCACGCACGAGCGCGCATGCACACACACACACTTCATTATTTTTTGTTTAGAGAAAAGCAGACTTATAGTCTGACTAAGGGTATGGCCCTTGATAGAGTAGAATGGCAAAACAAGATTAGTATAGTCGATCCCAAATAGTTAGCATAAGGCTCGGATGATGATGATGCTTGGATTAAGCCAATAATACTATCACCAATGTATCTTTTCCAATACCTCTTTCCGCTGATAGTATAAAAATACTTATAAGAAATCATTCCACGTGCTTTTATGCTGCAAAGTTTTTTACCCATGCAAATGAGGCATGAAGCATTGAGAGGCCCTGATAGCAATCCTAGGGTATCCTTTTACTCCCGAAATCACATGAATTTCAGACTTATCTTATATTTTCGTGCAAAGATCCCCAAATTTTCAAAGTCCTCATGGCAACAGAGGTATATAATGTATTGTCTTGGTCTCCCTTTATCCTTCCGAGTGTTAATAGCAATGGTTTTGAAATGTGTTCACTATTTAGGTACAAATATTTTCTTTTCAAAATATCAAAACAAGGTCCCATGCAAAACTGGTTCCCTGAAACAATCACATTATAGTGGCCCAAACAGAGGCAATAAACCTTCATTCATATCATAGAAAGGCTTGTAACAAAGATATCCCAACAATCCATCAATTAGTTGAATGAAATAGGACAATTTAAAACCATCTTAAGGTATCGAAACTTGGATCGACACTAACAAAAGCAATGAAGTGTTGGCCCAGGCTAAGTTAATTGCATGCCCCTTCCAGAGACCAAACAATGAAGAGTGCAAGTGAAAGCTGGAAGAAAATCTTCAATTGTCCACTTTTTTTGTATTTAAAATTGGCATTGTCTGCAAGGAAACCATTTACCTTTTGTACAAGGAGGTCAAAATCATTCTTGTCCTTTAAATTTCAAAATGGGTGGCCATTCCAAAAAACATATTCTCGGACTTCAAGCCATCCAATTTAACATCTAATAGAGTGGGAGTAGTTGTGACCTTCTTGTACAAAAGTAAATAGTCTCTTTGTAGACAATCCCTCTAAAGTTAACAAAATTATGCAATGGGTTTCACTACTATTGACATTTCAACCTTTTGCATAACAGTTCATTATTGTCACAAAATAGATAGTTTCTGCTACGAAAGTTTCACTAATTGATCTAGAAATCCAAATGATATCATTAATCGATGATACCATAAATGTTCAAAATGGCGGAGGTAGCCGCCTAGACCAGCACCCAAACACAAAGGCAGTGGTTTGTGTCACTGAGGGAAGAGGTGGGGCCATATGTTCTATGTGTATGTGTTTGTGAATGTGTGCGTGTATGTGTTTAGTGTGTGTGTGTGTCTATGTGTGTGTGTGTGAGGTCTCGCATGAAACTCTTAAAGATCATCCTCTTTCTTTCTTTTTCTGTTTTTTTTTTTGGATCTGTATTTGTGAGAGAGAGGTCTCAAACACTTGGAGGATATGGAGAGAGAGAGAGAGAGAGAGAGAGAAAGCAAGTCTGTGAGAAAGAGGGACCTTGCATCGAACACTTGGAGGCCATGCCATCTTCTTCTTTTTCTTCTTCTTACATTGAACGAGGGAGCATATGGGTCCATGTGTATCTTAGTGTGTGTGTGTGTGTGTGTGTGAGAGAGAGAGAGAGAGGCCGTGCATCGAACTCTTGGAGTCCTTCTTCTTCTTCTTCTTCTCATATGTAGAGAGAGCACATGGACCCAAGAGAGATAGAGAGAGAGAGAGAGTCCATCTTTTTTTCCTTTTTTTTTTAATTTAGGGATACCTGCCTAGGAGCCCGCCTAGACCCCACCGCCTAGGCGGTTTCTTGGCCAGGCCGCCTAGGCAGCAAGGTGGCTGAATTTTCGTTCATTGGAGACCATGCATAAAAGGATTCATGATTCATTTGTACAGTACGTATCCATGCGGGAGGCTACATTAGAGCTCTTGGCAAGTGGCCTGGTTGGTGGTATGTGGGTGTAACATCCCGCAATTGTGCATTCGAAATTTCGAACACCATGGGGCCATATCGCTCACAAGGTCGATATAAGCTTTGATCTAACCCGAGAATATTATATTCTTCTGTGCCAATTTTGTGCACTCCAATTTTGCAAACTTAGACAGCTCTTTTTTTCTAAGAGGGCAAACTAGATGACTCAGCAGGCGTTAACAAAAAAATAATTTCATGATAGGTGCCGTAAGCACTGTAGCTTAAAAACCAGATCCTACAGATGGAACAAACATATATTTGACCAACAATGTAAAACATACGGCCTATCCACATTGTTCTCACGTGACTTTAGGGACCGCATAAAAGGCTAAAAGATTAATACAAGTTCGATAAAGAAATGGCATCACATTCATAAACATCTAGCATAGAGAGAAATTGAAAAAGAAATGGTCATAAACAAATATTACTTCCACAAATGCTACATATTCAGGAAGCATCACACCATACTGAAATTTTTAGGAATCAATTACCAATTAGGCAATAATCTAATCATGGGATTCTAGATAATCAAACCAAAATTCATAATTAATAGCTACTGCAGCTCCTGATATGAGAAAACATATGCTTACTTGCTCTTACAATCCACGCATTCCCTGTTCTCTGGCAGTTTTAGGAGCCCCTCCAATATCTAAAAAGAACAATACCCAAAGAATAATTAATTCTAAGTTATTCAACTTAAATTTGAGAATCAATAAGCTTTATCTGCTCAAAACGCAAAAAAGCTCTCTCCAAAAACCTCCGAACACCATGAAATATGAAAATAACAAAAACATAGAAGATTGAGCCCCATAAAGAATCCCAGGAAAATGAAACTGGCCAACATAAAACAAATTAGTAACAGATGTGGGCTTCTAATATGACAAAGTTAACAGCTTGACCTGAAAAGATCCCTGTTTCAAACTCCTATGTAACACCCTTCTCATCTTTTGGAACTTTACACATCAAATAAATCTTGACTAGATCAATAAATAGCAAATCACAAAAGCTCAAATGCAGATTTGATCATATGTTCAGCAATCTTAAATGAGAAACCTTTAATACTACATGATATGTGCAATATTTTCATAAACCCGCACAAATTCTTTCAAAACCTCATAAGATGAGATCAATAGACCCATTGGATTAAGAAAATCAGCAACTAAAATCAATTCCATTTTCAAATAATTTCGGCTCTGGCAATTTTACAGAGAGAGAGTAGGAAATCAAATGCAATACTAACAATAATTGTAAAACCAAAATGTTTTAATACTAACAATTTCCAATCTTTTTGGTAATGCTTAATACATGAAGACTCGAAAAAAACCAACCTAATACATAAAAAACTGTAAAATAACAGTATCTGCCACTTGATCAGATTTGAAGACATACATGCCTTCCACCCATATTTTAATCAAATTCAAAATGAGAGGAAAAAAAGTAACCCAAAGTGATCAAATAATTCAATTCACATTAGTAAAATTGGGGATGACAAATGTAAAAATAAAGAAGAAAATAATACAAGGGAGAGCAATTTTACAATAATTGAAGGGAAAGGTAAATTAGGGAATACCTTCTTGTGTTTGGCATTAAGCTCCTTGGTTACAGAGGCCTTCTCGTTCATGCTTGCCTGAAATACAGAGAGATTTGGGAGCAGATGGCGAGCGAACAGAGAAAGAGGAAAAATAAATACACCAAAAGAAATATATATGTTTTAGAGAGAGTGACAATATGAATCTAAGCTAGCCTGTGTCTGACTTTAGAGGCATTTGTAGGAGAAAATGACTATAAACCCCATCAGTCTTTCAAATGTCCCAGATAAAATGTTAATGCCAAATTTAGTAGCTCCTGTAATTTATTAAAAAATACATGAGGTGAACTTCATGATTTTATTTTTATTTTTTTGTTCGTATACAATTTAAAACATCTACCAAGGACACAATTGTAATAAGTAGTAATGGTCGATGGTGATACCTTTTTTATGCCACCTTTGATGCGAAGGGACAGCCAAGATAACTTCAGTTTTACTGTCAATCCTAGCTTTATTTTACTTGTAATATTTGCTATAGATCATCTTGGAATTAGGGATATGCTAATTCTAATATGGGTGCACACAATAGAAAAAATCTTTTTGATAACTTAAAATAACTAAAATGCCCCTATAAGGTATAAAAGCATTTTGATTATATTATTTTATTAAAGGGTTTTGTGAGGTGTGGTGGAGCCTGTACTCAATATTTTTTGATACTAAAATACATTTGAATTATAATACAAAATTTTTTAAGTAGAAGCATTTTTTGTCATTTGAAAGAGTAGAATGGATAGTTTTGTAAGAAAATAGTGGTATTTTATTAGTAGTTAAAAATAATTATTGCGGATGATGTCGCAAACTATATTGGTGATGTCATTGTTTAATAAATGATTTTGTTTCTATTAAAAATTTCTAGTTTACCTTTGTCTGATTACTTAAACGGAAAAATATCTCGATAGTTAGGTTTCATTTCACAATAGACCCAAAGCTTTAAAAGATATATTGAGACATAAAAATTGTAGATTTTATTTATTCAAACCTCTAAAAAGATTTTATTTATTCTAATGCTCTAAGATATTTTAAACTAATTTTTTTTAGATCAAACAAATCTAAAAAGACACGCCTTTTCTAAAAGTCATCTTTTCAAAGTTCTCTTCATCGCTTCGCACCCTTTCTCTCTCCCTCTATCTTTCCTATCTCTAACCCTTTACTCTCTCTCCTCCAAAGTTCTATCTTTCTCTCTCCACATCCTTTTTCTCTCTCTGCCTCTTTTATCTCTAAGCCCTCACTCTCTCTCCCCCGCTTTCTTCATCTTTCTCATCTCTCTCCCCTCATTCTCTCTCGCCTCACTCTCTATCCTCTCAACTACACAGTAAGTATACAGAGAGAAAGATAAGTATTTGGATAAACACGGTGAGAGAGTTTGTTTGGTGGTGAGAGGTTATCTGAATAAACACAAGAAATGGAGACAAAGAGGCGTTTGGATAAACATTAGAGGAGATAAATGCTTAGTGGTGAGAGGTCAGAAAAGAAATAGAAAGGTGTTTGGATAAATATGAGGAGATAGATATGTTTGGATAAACACGCGAGGAGAGAGAAACTGAAATACATACCAAGAAAGATAAATAGAGAAGTTTGAGGTATATAAATGAAGAGAGAAGGGATTAGGTTTAAAAGTAGCATGTCTTTCTTACATTTGTTTAGGTTAAAAGATAGGTTTAAAGTGGCCACCGGGTTGGAAGTTATTTTTTGAAATATTTGGTTTATAAATAAATAAAATCTAAAAATAAGGGACATGTAGATATTTTCCCCACTTAAAATACTCTTAAACAAAAAGTTATTATACTATAGGATAAAGGTATTTAAATATTTAAAAATATTAAACACTTTGAAGGTCTACACCACAAGTTGTATAGCCTAACAAAACCTTTTATTGAAATATTTTTATTTTTTATTTGCACCCCTTATAAGAAATGGGCACATCTCAAAAAAAATTTCAATACAATTTATAAAGAATCAAAAAAAATATTTTCATCTATCTTGTTATTGATTATGATTGGATGGTCAGAGACTAACTTGTGATATTATGCTTGAAGCTATCCTGGTCATCTTTTTGGATCAGATAGCTAGGAAATGTGTAGCATATATAATTATCATAAATGGCATATAGAAAGGTTTCTCATTGATAAATGTATGACATGTTAAAGCGTTTGATATTTTTGATAAATTTTCTAATGCTTTATCATGAAATGGAAAATATTCCATGCTTCATATGCGTGCATATTAGGGAAAACAAGAATGGTAACGATGTCCTCCGGGAAGAATTTTAGTGCAAGTCCTTTAGTTACTGGGGTGCAGTTTGTATAGAGCCCGGCTCTAAACAATCAAAGTAAAACGCACTTCCAAATAATGTCGAGATATGTGGTTTCAATATTAAAAAATTTTGTGATACCCTTAAAACATATGCTTATCTTTAAGTATAAAATTTAAAGCTTAAAAAATAGTAGATCAAACAGATCTATGAAAACTTTAAAATCTTGAAAATTTACGGTCTAAATATGCATTACAATATGCACCATTTTCAAAACTTGAAATCCATTTTTTTCTCATGTCTATACATCTTGATGTTGAGATGATCAATTTGATGATATTTGTGCATCAAAACAACAATCTTCTAATGAAATGTTTAATGTGAGCTCTAATTTGATTGTTTAGAGCCTCAGCTCCATATAAACTTTTTCCCTACTTAAAAGATGTTTGCTCATTGAGAAAATATTCCATTTTGGTATGTGTACATATTAGTATACTCGTACCTAACATCTATCGTCTATGGCTAGGACATGAGATGAAGGGTGGAAAATTCTTCAAATTGGGTTCGGATCCACTAGATCTGGGTTCGGATCTAAACCGTATACATCATCATATCTGGTCCAATCCAAAATATTTAGATCATAAACTATATATAGGATCCAGATCCGAATCCAAATATAGATCAACTATAATTTTGTATATTATAAAGTTAAAATATAATTTAAAAGTTAAAGTAATTATTTATATTATATATAAATTAATAATTACATAAATCATGTAATATATATAT